TGCTACATTTTAGGATTACGTATGCTCCAACAAGGTCCACTTGTGTGGATATCTACTTGCTGAAAACGAATCCCGGCGTAGCCAACCTCAACGTGATAGGCACGTTAGCTTAATCGAATAAAATAATTCGAAGTGGTCTGTATATTATAATAGTGTTTCACCCATGGCAGACACATTGCTGTAGAATCACATAAAATAAGTCATTTATAATTTTCAGAATGGCCTGAAGGCCATTCCTCGTACGTAGTTCAAATGTTACTCACTATTTACGAGAAACCCTGTATATTTTATAGCGTAAAATTTTATCTTTATGATATCGCTTTGCTAAAAGTAATTGTTAATTAATTTTGCTATCAGAAAACTATCGAGTATTTTGATTTCCTCGTAACTGGAAAAAAAAATGAAGATATGTGTTTCCGAGAACACAAAAGCTTTTTGTAAAATATCGGATGTATAGATTTATTAAAAATGTTTTTGTAATTATTTTCAATAATAATTCTGCAACACTGGCTGGTGGTAATGATCTGTTTGTGAAATTATAATTTGTACTGGCGGCAAACGTAGAAAGTCTACCGATAAGCTTCTGTAATTTTTGCGATATACCAGTGGTGGCTAGCAGATAGGTAATGTACACATTTTACGACTTTCAACCGGCAGGTGAAGATAAATAATCCAGTTGTAGTTTCCAGAAGTTCTGTCGCCATGCTACAATGCATACGGGATTAGATATGGGACGAGGACGTGCTCATTTAGAAATAAACTTTTTCAAATAGGAATGTAGGAAATGCAGCTCTGTTGTAATTTTCAACACTACTTGTATATTTACAGATTGCTAAGAAATTCTGTATTTAGTTTCCCCAGTATGATCTGTAGATATCGAGTAGATAATAACAAATTATTACAGATTTTGACAAATTAACCGTTGATTGAGATTGAGCTTGAGGCTGTCTAGTAGACGGTATCATTGGTATAGGGTGTAGTGCATAGTCTAAAGTGGAAACTCCTGTAAAGTGGTAAAGTATTTGAAATAAATTTTCATCCTACGCATTAATTTATTTTTATCAGAAACGTGACAAACTATATAAAGAAAAAAAAATCATTTTCCTTTTATGCGACACTCTTATTTCCAAATATAGAACTTCTGTTTACTCATTTGTGGGATTACTTTACTAATAAACAAATACAATCTATTGTTAAACATAAAACGTGCGCCACATAATCTTACAAAGATTGTTGTGATGTTTTAACTACGAATTGATTTACTTATAATTCATCATCATCATAAGGTCATCAGTCCTAAGACTGGTTGGACACGTACCTCCAGCCACATCCTTAACTATTTGCGAAGAGTAATCTAATCTAGGTCTACCTCTACCCCTCCTAACTTCTGTTTCTGCCTCTAATATGTCTCTGACTAGACCTTCATGCCTGAGAAGGTGTCCTACCAACTTATCTCGCCTATTTTTTATTGACTTCCATAGAGTCCTCTGTTCTCCTATTCTTTCCAATACCTCTTCATTTCTAACCTTTTCTATCCACCGCCTGTAACACCACATTTCGAACGCTTTTAACCGTTTCTTTTCCGCCGCTCCCACTGTCCATGTTTCACACCCGTACAACGCCGTGCTCCAAACATACACCTTTAACAACCTTTTTCGAATTTCTAAAGCATAGAAGTGACTTCTTTTTATTAAAGGCGACACGACCCTGCGCTATCATCTGCTTTATATTCCTACTACTCTTTCCATCCTCACTTATCTGACTTCCTAGGTATCTAAAATCAGCCACTTCTTCTAATTTTTCGTCTCCTATNAGGTATCTAAAATCAGCCACTTCTTCTAATTTTATAATATTTTATTTTATTTTCTTACTTATAATTAGTACCGTTTTTTTATGAGTAGCTTAGTGTGTCAGGGTTTATGGTTTAAGTCGAAGTATTAGTGATGAAGTGCATAACTCATTGTGAACAAACTATCATTATTTCTCGCATATATCATCTGAAGCTTTGAGTCTACTAATTCGTCATCTCTATTGCCTTCTACTTCTATTAATATCCACCAATTAATATTAAACGCGATTGAATATCTACATTACGTATAAGGTGAAGGCAGGTCAATTGAGGAACGGTTTCTTATACTCGATTCAAATTTGACCGGGGTTCATTTGAAAATCAACAGGTGTCAACACAATGTACCGTCACTGTTACTGACCATTGTCTCGCCCACGATTAATTCTTAGAGTATTGTTATTAGAAATCGAGGTGTTAGGACACACCTACTGACGTGCCGTTTCCCTTGTTAATTTCCGAGGTAAGGGCGGAATCTTATTAAAAACAAGAGTGTCGATGGCCTTTTCGAGCGTGCAAAATAAACGCTATATTTTACTGTCTCGAAATAAAAATCTCTGGTCATGTAATGCATGTTCGCCAATGCGCGTGTGTGTGAGTAGAGTACGAACGAATATTAGTCGGTGAAAATAGAAATGCTCGTCCTGGATCTACATGAGGTGCGGCCGTCAGATATTATTAATAGTCAAGCCCTTAGTAGCTACTAAGTACCCTACTAAGTACTATCTACTAAGATGCCACTAAATGTGTCGTATTAACGGCTGTCATTTTAAATGCTACTAGATAATAGAATGGTTTGCATCGTAACGATTTCACAACGCTGTCATTCTGTATGTTCAAAGACTTTTGATAACTTGAAAGCTCCAAATTTTTTTGTGACCGATATCGTAACTGACTGACTCACAATAACATTAAGACTGTATTAAATAAATCGCCACCTACCGTAAGGTCATCAGTCCTAAGAGTAGTTGGACACTGACCTCCACTCTTTCCTATCCTTAGCTATTCTTTATACCTGAAAAGGTCCTACTAACCTATCTCGCTTATTGACTTCCATAGAATCCTCTGTTCTCCTATTCTTTCTATTACCTCTTCATTTCTAACCTTCTCTATCCACTGTATCCCGTTAAATAAATATGGAAATTATAAGTGAGCAAGCAGAGAAAGAAACAATTTAGTTACTTGGGTTACTTTAAGTTAAGTCGTAGTAAAACTGAGCGAGGTAATACTGGTTAAAAGCAGGAAACACAATCGTAACAACGCAGAGATTGTGGAAAACGACCAAATAAACCAAAAAGAGTTAACGAATTTGAGTCACTTTTGGGTTCATTTATAATTATGGAACGATCAAAATCGCTTACTGAGGTTCTTTTCCTTCCTTATTGTACATTACTATTTTCTACAGAACTTAGTAAATCATAAATGGGACTGGCCGAAGATGTGAGTTGCTACAAGCTTAAAATCTACTGGTTACTTCTTGATGTTACTTTCATGCTATAGAATCTAGATATCATCTAGTATTATCTCAGGTTGATTGATCGTACTTAATTGTAAGAGTTCCGAAATATATTGATCTCAATCAAGAACACGTAACAGTTTGACGGAGTTTTCACTGTGAAGTGATGATCAAACCAGGTTCAGGTGGTCATAAAGTAATTACAGTCCTGAAACAAGAAACCAGAGTAAAATAGAACGATACACTACAGGCCATATTCATGCATCAAGTAAATGGCAATATGTTACCATTTAGACTACATATGGTGACATATCGAATCTAGGGATATTTGCCACAATGAAAATGTAAAAAGCTTAT